GATCTGAGGATTGCAGTTCAAAGCCAGCCCAGGCAGGAATATCCATGAGACTCTTATCTCCAATAAACCACTAGAAAACTGGAAGTGGTGCTATGGCTCAAGTAGTAGAGCGCTTGCCTTGAGCTGAAGAGCACAGGGACAGCGCTCAGGCCCAGAGTTCAAGCCCCACGACCGACCAAAAAAAAAAAAAAAAGAAAAGAATTTCAGATGTTCCTGCCCAGGCTGGCTTCCACTTAAAAATCTCAGACTTCTGAGTAGCTAGTATGACAGGCATGAGCCAGTGGCATCCAGCTGGTTTCAAGTGTTTAATCTCATTTTGAGATATTTAGTATCTTTCATAATTATATCAAACAATGATCATCTGCATGTGATGTGGTAATGTCCTAGGTGACATGATTAATCAAAGCGCCCTTTCTCAGGGACATAATACACATACAGAAAAATATTGTAAGTGGAGAAACAGAGGAATGGTATATAATGCGAAGAATGCAACGAATGGTTGTATGCAGACACATCAAAGATGGTACACTCGAAGGAAGTACAGGGCATTCTGGAGATTAATGGAAAATGGAAAAAGTCACTGTTTAAGATGAACAGTGCAAGGGTGGAAGGGGGGGGGAAGGAGCACTGGGAATGTGGCTTAATGGTAGAATGCTTGCTAGCATGCATGAAGCCCTGGACTCAATTCCTCAGTACCACATAAACAGAAAAAGCCAGGAGTGGCGCTGTGGCTCAAGTGGGCGCATGCTACCCTTGAGCAAAACCAGCTCAAGGGACAGTGCCCAGGCCCTGAGTTCAAGCCCCAGGACTGGGGAAAAAAAGATGAATATGGGGGCCAGGGCCCACACCTGTAATCCTAGCTACTCAGGAGGCTAAGATCTTAGAATCACAGTTCAAAGCAGCTCAAGCAGGAAAGTCTGTGAGATTATCTCCAATTAGCTACCAGGAAACTGGAAGTGGAGCTGTGGCTCAAAGTGGTAGAGCATTAGCCTTGAGCAGAAAAGCTCAGGGACAGTGCCCAGGCCCTGAGTTCAAGCACCATGAATGGAAGTGAATATGGGAGGTATACTTTGGAGAAGACTAATCAATTTATGGGGATAGCAATTTTTATATAATGGACAGGAGCAGGTGTGACACCACAGAAAATAAAGGATCATTTAAGTGGCTACAGAGTTCATATTGTATCTCATTCTTTTAGAAAATTAAGCTTTTTTACATATAGTCTTCAAGCTCAGAACAAGAATCCACACTGGTCTGAAGTAAATATACTATCCATTGTGAAGTATCTAATATAGTAAGGGAGATAAGCAGACCAGACCTACCAAACCTATGGCAATAAAACCTTTCCATACAATGCTAACAATGAGTAAGACCTATGAGTGATCATTAATTGCAGGGTTGGGGTTCACTGGGATTTAGAGAAGAGTTCAGAAGCAGGCCAGGTTTGATAGCTCATGCCTATTATAATCGTAGCTACTCTACAGGCTGAGATCTGAGGATCAGGAAGAAAAGGCTATGAGACTTTTATCTCTAATCAGCATAAGCAGAATGTAGAGATAGAGCAATAACCTTGAGCAAAAGGCTAAGGGATAGTGAAAAGTCAAGTGAGAGTGTGAGGCTCAGAGTTCAAGACACACACACACACACACACACACACACACACGGGAGGGTTAGAAGAAGCATCTGAAACCAACTAAAGAATGTTTTAAAATAAAATGGATTTAGAAGTTCTACAAGGTGGGGGAGGGTTCCTATGATAAATGCAAGAAAGGACACAATGACCCAGTTTGATCTAGTATAAATGGAGGGAAGAATTAAAGATTCACTTAGGAGCTGAGTGCTGATGGCTCACACCTGAATCCTAGCTACTTAGGAGGCTTGAGATCTGAGGATCATGATTGGAAGCCAGCCCTGGGCAGAAAAGTCCCCGTGAGACTCTCATCTCCAACAAACAGAAAAAGCTGGAAGTAGTGCTGTAGGCTCAAGTGGTAGGGCCCGAGTCTTGAGTACAAAGAGGCTCAGGGACAGGGCCCAAGCCCTGAGTTCAAGCCCCAGGACCAGCTAAGAAAAGAAAAAAAGCAAAAGATTCATTTAGGAAACTGTATAAGAGACCAACAACCCACCAATGATTGGTATATAATCATTGTACAGGTAAAATACCTGGGGCTTGCTTGATAGCACTCAGGCTATAAACTCAGGCCACAGTAGTAGCTGAGAGGAGTATGGAGTCTTAGGAAGCCATGATGTATGGTACAGTGGACTAAAAGTGCTTCATGAGCTTTACCACTAGAGGGGATTATTTCCAGCTGGTGCTCAACATTCACAGAAATGGTATCTGAGACAGGTCTTCAAGGTCACCAGGTGAAATCCTGGATGGTACTATTTGGCTTATTTCTATTCTTTTGAGATGGCAGTATACCTAGGATGAAATACCTACAAAACAGAATTTATACAGTTGGAGTTCAGGAAAACTAAGGACTAAAATTGAAAGCTAAAATGAGAGTTGTTAACTTAGCAGGAAAGAGAAGGTGAAGAGCTGAAAGAGGACAAGGCAATGAAACAGAGCCACAGCCAAAACACAGAGGAAACTGAGGTAATCTTATAATAAAGGCAGAAAAGAATAGTTTCAAATGGAATGACAACAATGTCAAGGAAGAATGAGAATGAAATACGTGAATAAGAAATGGAAAAGAGGTTTTTTCTTCATTGTTCTATTAGTTTTCTTTTTGTCTTGTTTGTTCATTTATCTGTATTTGAGAGTGTAAAGGACAAGAAATGGAGGGACAAGCCGGGCGCCGGTGGCTCACGTCTGTAATCCTAGCTACTCAGGAGGCTGAGATCTGAGGATCAAGGTTCAAAGCCAGCCTGGGCAGGAAACTCCGTGAGACTCTCATCTCCAATAAACCACTAGAAAACTGGAAGTGGGGCCGGGAAGGTGGCTCAGTGGTAGAGCGCTTGCCTTGCATGCATGAGGCCCTGGGTTCGATTCCTCAGCACCACATAAGCAAAAAGAAAAAAGCCAGAAGTGGCGCTGTGGCTCAAGTGGTAGAGTGCTAGCCTTGAGCTGAAGAGCTGAGGAACAGCGCCCAGGCCCAGAGCTCAGGCCCCACAACCAACAAAAACAAAAACAAAAATGATGCTGTGGTTCAAAGTGGTAGAACATTAACCTTGAGCAAAAGAGTTCACAGACAGCACCCAGGCCCTGAGTTCAAGCCCACAACTGACAAAAAACAAAAAAAACCCAAGAATTACAAATAAACTAGTAATAACACTTAAACAGAAAACACCACAGAAAAGCAACCTGAAAATGTTTGTAAGTTCAAGAAACCTGAAAGAAAAAAATGAAGGTTTAAGTAAATATGATCATGAGGAATTGGAGGAGATAAAAATTGGATAAGCTATGGGTAAGTTGGATCTGTTTGACTTTTAAGTTTAATATTTGGATGAAAATAACAGAGAAATATTTTGGGCTAAAAAGAGTTCATTTCACGAAGAACGATAAAGGCAGATTATCAGTTGAGGTACTAAAATTCCCTGGGGGTATTGAGAAAAGATTAACTGTATGTGCACTAAACAAAGATGTCTTTAAAAACAAAAACACTGTCAAATGAAGTCAAAGGTTATTAAGTCAGAGTTGACTGAATCCCACATTCACTGTTTGTTAATACAGACTTGAGTAGAGAGGGAGTTGGAAAAAGGGTAAAGGTTTACATTTTATGTTGGCCTTTAAGTCAGGGAAGCATGAGTAAAAACATAAATGACAATAGCAAAGTAACGTAAAATAGATTCTGGTGCAGAGGTGAGTAATAAATTTCATGAGTGCTGCTAGATGACTAAAGAAGGCAAATTTGTGAATGTGATGGAGTAATAGGAATTAAAAAAAGAACAAACAGTGTAAGGATGAGATAAAAATGGTACTATAGTAAGAAAGAGGGTACTAAAAGCTTCTCAGTGGAGGTCAAGTGCTAGCACTAAAGAAGTTAAGATACCAGGAGGTCAGGCTGATCATCAAGGAGAGAAAACTGTGAAGGAAGTGTTGAAGCCTGGAAAGCAGTATCCCATAATGATCAGGAAGTAACAGAAACCAGAAACAGCAAATTATTTCCAGCTTGTGCTCAACATGTTATGATCTGCTAGAAACTCAGTTACATATTGATTCTGTTCTATTTTTTTACAAATGGAACCTCACTTTGAATGAGCAGTGTATCAGATTTATATTTGAATAACTTTTTGACTATTTAAAAAATTTTAAAAATCCATCCTGAAGGAATAAAGTATCTCCTACTTGTAAAATCCAAATTAATGTGTGCTCTGGAGAATTTCCCTAGCATAGATAGGAATTCAAATAGTCCAAAGTGAATTAATGAATGAAAAAGAATTCCAATACTGGCATCATGGCCAGAAGACTTTCTGATTTTCACTGAATAGATTTAAGTACAGATGGTTGGATAGCCAAACAGTCTGACAGATGGATAGCAGAGAGCATGTCTTTCTCTGATTCTGTCAAACAGACCCTATGGGCTGGAGATGTGACTCAGAATCAGAGTGCCTGGCTACTAAGCCTGAGACTGAATTCAAAGGTCAATACTGGGGGGGAAAAAAGACATGAAACAACTGAAGGAAGCATCATCACTGAAAGTCCTAAAGTCCCTTAAAGCAATAGCTCTGAGGATAACACTCAGGAGAATAAATATATTTGTCTGGCAAACATATTTAAAATACTTAAATTTTTGTTTTAAAAAATAACATTTTTAGGAAAAAAATAAACCCCAGAGAATTACTTCTTTATATCAAACCTATTTAATTTTATTAGTTTAATTAGCTGTACTTAAAAATTCATTACAGCAATTTCCTGAATTGCTGTGCCTGAAATTAAATACTTCCAGACAGTATCTTTTAGCATCTTGAAGAAATGGCTTCTAATAAAATAACTTCGCTTCCAAAACAAAAACTTCCTTAACTATAACCTTAATTGCATTTACAGATGGAACTCATCTTACCTCATCATATGATTTACATAGGCTTTGCTACAGCTAGTGTTGTATCTGCAAAAACCACAGTGGACATACGTAGGAAAATGGTTTGCAAAATCTTTTATTTCAGAAGAACATTCAATGCACTTGTGTACGCCCCGACTACACCTTATAGAGACATAAAAAGAAATGATATGTTTTAAAACAAAAATAAGGAACTGTATTATTACTCTATTAAAGTATAATGTTTTTACATTTGAGTTTAAATTGGTACTGTATATCAAGAAGAAAACATTACCTTAAGTTCCTCAATGATGTATTGACCTTACTTTTTTTATTGCTATTAACCAATGTGCTTTGTTTCTTTTGTATATTAGAGACTTTTGATTTGCATTTAGATTTACTTCCATTAGGTTTACTTGCTTCAGATCTGGTTGTATCAGGTTTACTTGTACTCAATTTGGTGGGGGATTTAGCAGGTGTATTTTCAGTCCTTGGAGGAGAGAGTTGAAGGGTGGAAGTACTGGCACTTATGGAAGGTGTGGTTGAAGGTCCTGACTGAAGGGGTGCAACTGAAGCTCGAATAGTAACCTACAAAAGTAAAGGGAACATTTCACTAAAAACCACCATTATATTCAAAGTATCACTGCACAAAAAAATCTAAGTATTTTGAAAAAGTACAGCTAAACTAAAGGAGTTTCTATTTATTCTCAATGCTCAAACCAATCGAATAAAACTAAATTGGGTATTTATTCACTTATATATTTTATACTGCTGTCAGTTATGTTAACATAGTTATTAATGAATAATTAGGAGTTAATGCAATCCTAACAGTAAAGAGCATATACCATAGCTATTTTTGTGCTCTGATATACTACAAAATTTACAAATGAAGAGCTCAAAATTTAAACAACAAAGACTGAAAAATAACTCTAGAAAAGCCTGTATTACCCTCTGACAAGAATAAAATCAATGGGTCCACAGTAAATGTGACCTCTTCTTTTTGGAGTTCATTAACTAGGATTTATGCTTACAAATTTATGAAAGGTGTTACATCAAGTCATTATGTAATGTGGAGTTTAAAACTTAGAATTTCCTTAAAAGGAACTAATCCAAAGTTCATCATGTACTGTTCTGACAATGGAGAACACAATTACCTACCAACACTGTCATTAATCATTGATGATACTCTCCTCATGTATTAAGGAACAGTCTATGATGATGAAGTCCTTTGAAATACATGTGGCTGGGTATTATATTAAAACAGTGAATTAGGAATCAAAAGACCTGAGGGTCAATCTCAGACTATCCCTTCCTAGAAATGTGACCTTGAATAACTAACATCTTCTTTAAGCTTCTTCATTATCTACAGCATAAAGCAATACTTCCCTAGGCTAATTACTGAATTGTAGGAATTAAATAACCGAATGTATGAAAAAGTACACTTAGAACCAGGCAATTGTAAGGTGCTATAAAAACATTTAGTATCATTATCATTATTATTATTATTAATAAGGGAAGAAATGAGAGAGGACCGCTCTGCTTACATTAGTGTTCTGCATGTCTAGTCCCAGCATGAAATGAATGGATTGCAGGGAAGGATGCTGGACAGCTTCTCTTGCTCTAGGTCTTCAGAGCATGGCTTTACATTGTTTAGTTAATTCAAATAACAGACATACCCACATTCAAAGGTAAGTACCCAAAGCCAAATATAAATGTTTTGGGGATTATTTCAGTTTGGATTATCCATGTCTCTGTTTCCCTCCACTGGAGCAAATATTCAAGAGCTGACTGTGTGTAAAGAAGTTAGAGAAAACAGATGTATATAAGGCAAAAAGGGAAAAGTAAATTACATTCATCAGTATGCAGTCAGACATGTGTTTGCTCACTTAAAACACAATGCAGTCCAGCAGCAGAATTTGCTTCTTTGAAAGTAGATTCAATAATAACAACGTCAACATCTGAAAACTTACGGCAATCAAGTTACATTACAAAGATAAAAAGAATATAATTCTTGGTAACTAACACTTTATAATTAATGTGCTAAGACCGGCATATATACTGCCCAATGTAGAGCTAAAAAACTACCCTATGTAATACTAAAACAAGTCACTGGCCCAGGAAATCGCAGTTTTCATCCAGTGGGATTCCACTATAACAGAGCTCCCACCACAGAACATATAGTTCAGAAGTTGTTCTTTCTAAGCATAAGGATAATAGAGAACCTAAAATTGGTCTTAAAAAATGAGAAGTCATTTTATAAAATATTATATTCAATAGATAAAACTAGACAAATGTTAAATTTTTATTATTTAAAATGTTGTAATGCAACATTTGAACTCACTTTTGTTCCAGGAGGCAATCCTTCCAGTTGCTTAGGTTTTATAAATGTTCGATGATGCTGCGTCTTATGATCTATTTTCTCCTTGCATGTCAAAAATTGCAGTCTGCATTTTGTACAACGGTGTATTCCTTTTTTCTGTTGGGAAATAGCAAAAAAGAATAAAAATAATTTCTATAACCACAAATATTGATTCCTGAAATTGCTCTAGCAATTTTTTTTTTTTGTCAGTCACGAGGCTTGAACTACTCTGGGCCTGGGCTCTGTCCCTCAGCTCTTCAGCTCAAGGCGAGCGCTCTACCACTTGAGCCACAGCGCCACTTCTGGTTTTCTGAGTGGTTTACTGAAGTCTCACAAACTTTCCTGCCTGGGCTGGCTTTGAACTATGATCCTCAGATCTCAGCCTTCTGAGTAGTAGGATTACAGGTGTGAGCCACTGGTGCCTAGCTACTTTAACAATTTTTATACTTTATCATAAATAATATGAAGGTGTCATATTATGTTTGAAAACTTGTATTATTATTTAAGTTTCAGAAGTACTTGATATTATACAGAAATAGAACATGAAACTTCTATTACCAATCCTAAGAACTGTGGTATGAAAGGTCTTTAAATTTTAAATGTGAAGTACTAAAAAGACATGATATTGAGAAAATAAGTTATACTACATTTTTGCTTAAAGTGTTTTTTTATATCCAACTGTTGACAAAGAAGAACTGTTAACAGAAGAAAGTTATAAAATGATTAAGTCAAAGTCTTGCCCAGTAAAACTTTCTGCAATGATGAAAGATCCTAGAGTTATGCTGTCCAGCATGTGATGTATAGTCATGTGGTTACTGCTCACAAATAATAAATGTTTAAGGAGAAGGAAATACTACTCTGATTTCAACACCGTGCATTGTATACATGTATTGAATTATTACCCTGTAACGGAAAAAAAAGTGTACCAGTATTATCTTTCAACTACCATTATTTTAAAGGCAGAAAAAATTCACTACAATGTTCAAAGCAATATAGAAGAATAGTATGTTACAATTCTAGCTGCATCTTAAGGTTACTCTGAAGTAACCTTATATTGGATTATATCACAGGTACAAGTAACATAAACAAATTCATCTATGTGTGGCCATAAATAGAAGAGGTCTGGGAAGGTGGCTCAGTGGTAGAGCGCTTGCCTTGCATGAATGAGGCCCTGGGTTTGATTCTTCAGCACGACGTAAGCAAAAAGAGAAAAGCCGGAAGTGGCGCTATGGCTCAAGTGGTAGAGCGCTAGCCTTGAGCTGAAGAGCTGAGGGACAGCGCCCAGGCCCAGAGTTCAGGCCCCACGACCGGACTCCCCCCCCCAAAAAAAAAGAAGAAGAAGAGAAAAATATGGCCTCCCAAAAAAGAAAGCAGCGCAGAAGCAAAGTTCACCCTTGTTCAGTTCCTAGAAATTTTTTCCTCTACAATATTCTCTAGGTATCTGATCCAGGTTCATGATTTCAGATCCCATCTACCTATCTGTCTATATAACATTACTACATGATGTCTAATATGCTTGTCAAATCCATGTGGACAAAACTAACCTCTAGATTTTCTGTGTATTTTGCTTTTCCCACCCTGTCAAATAGACTACTTCTTCAGTCTTCCCAACACCTTAGAATATGAAAACTTTATCATTGTAGTTTTCCAGGACAAAAAAAAAGTTCAATCATTGACTTTTGCATTCCATATCTAACACACTAAAAAAAACAAAAACCCAGTGAGTTCTATCTGCAAAGCTTATTTCCAACTATTGCTACAATACTTCTCCAAGCGATTCACCTGGACTGTGGTAAAACAAATCACTTCTATCTTCTTCCTTTTATGTCTTTCCTTCCCAGAGCTACCAGTTCTTAAAATATGCCAGATCTATCACTTCCAACCTTCTAGCTGTTTCCCAAGTTCCTGTCTCTGGTTTAGAACAACAGGAACTGTTCCTCCTTGCCAATTTTGAGTAGCTCAGATTATAACTCTTCCAGATTTCAATAACACATTCCTTCACTTCCTTCAAAGAGGCTCTTCTATGACAAAAGAGCAACCATTCTTCTACCACATTCTCAATCTTTGGCGCTCCTTGCCTTTACATTTTCCATCCACAGTACTTATCTCTAGCATGTGAATTCAAACATGCACACACGTGAGCACAAGGGCACATACACACAATTATTTTTAAAACCTAAGACAACCTCTGGCCCTATAAATAAACCTTTATTAAAGAAATGAATATTGAGGCAGAAATCAGATGGAGAAAAATATTTATGAAGAAACAGGTTCAAATATGTTCATTTCATTCAATGAACATTTTCTACATTTCTAAGTTAGAATACATCAATCCATTCTCTCAGTTGAACTGGTCTTTCTCATGCATGTATGCATTTCAATGTTCTATGGCTGATGAAGATAACAGAATTGGAATTTTTAATAGCATTATGTTGAAAAAGAAAACAGTGATCTACTCCTATTGTCGAGTTCTCTTTCCTCATTTTCAAAATAAAAATTATAATGTAGACTTAGCGGTTATAAAGATTAAAACACTAGTTACTATAAGGTAATTGATTAGTACATGTTAACTGCTTGTTTTTTAATGACCTAAAAAACTTATTTGACACATCTAAAATTCTTTCATTACTTTTTTTTTTTGGTCAGTTGTGGGGCTTGAACTCAGGGCCTGGGCACTGCTCCTGAGCTTTTGTGCAAGGCTAGCACTCCACCACTCTACATCCCTATTTTTGGTGGTTAGCTGGAGGTAAGAGTCTCAAGGAGTCTGAGCAAGCTGCTGGCTTTGAACCTTGATCCTCAAATCTCAGCCTCCTGAGTAATTAGGATTACAGGCATGAGCCACCAATGCCTGGTTCTTCCATTACTTTAAAAAAAAGTCATATAAGTTGGGTTGTTAGCTCTAAAATCATCAAAGAACTAAGAAAATAATTTTTTAAAGAAAAAGTTTACAGCTTGAAAGATAATCTTGAAAGATAATGAGACAGAATCAGCAATTCTGTCCAATGTAATAATAATGTCATCTCGATTACAAGTTTATATTTCCAGTCAGCTATGGTTTTCCAGGCTGTCATAATTATATAAAATGTAAATACAATGAAGGGTGCTTGATGATCCTTCCCCTATTACAGATGTCTTCCTATCTCCCAGGTACTTCAAACAAACAGAAATAAAAAGTTGGGCACCTGTGGCAAGACAACTCTGGATATAAAGATATTTGATTTTTGATTATAAATAACACAGGCCACATACTGGGTTCACACGTCTCATTCACAGTTATCATTATTCTCATATTTATATATTAGTAAAGAATCTAGGAAATTACTGCTTTATACTTTACTCTCAAAATTAAAGTTCAAAGATAAAATATTGAGCATTAAGAATAGTATTTCCCAAACTGCTGCTCAAAAAATGTTTAAATTAAAATTTCAAATAGAGGGTCCAATGGTCAAATAAGTTTGGGAGATGATACATACTATATCTTTTGCTTGGAGATTTACAATGTCCATTAGCATATTAAAAGTTCTGAGAAGTCCTGTTTTAAAAACAAACAAAAATGTTTAATTTTGTTAAGTCTTGGTAAGACTTATATACCAGTAACAATTTGTGGGACCCCTACTAACACCTGATGGAACATTGTTGGGAAGATCTTGACAGAACTTCTCAAGGGTGGTAGTATCCCAGACACAACTTAGGTCATCCCAGATTTATTTGAAAATTATACTTTTCTGATTTCTCCAACTAATAACCACTACTTGAATTCAAGATTTAGTTAACACTGGAAAGTGACAGCTTTCCTAGGAAAGGTGAATAAACTAGTGTGCCAATCTAATCTAAAAGGTGCTAAGCTTTTTAGTTATTACACAGTCAGATTAAGGAATGCAGTGGACTTCCGATTTTGACAATACTGTTGCTCTTTCTGGTACTGAAAAGCAGGATTAATGTTAACTAATTAATATGTAGTTAACTAACACGTTAACATTAAAATTAACATTTTTTATCTCAATAAAGCAACAGTTTAATTGCTTCAGGAAAAGAACCAATAAATATAATATCAGAAGGAAGGACATAAGCACTAACACGGAAATCCCAAAATTTCACAGCACAACTGGCAACAATTATCCAAGAAACAAGCCATGATACAAATATAATTCCCTGACAGAGTTCTTACACTGACTATTCAACTTTGTTTCCTTAGTTGTGTATCTATGAAAGACCGCTTTGGACCAATAATGACAACACATCTTAGAAATCAAGGGTTAGAAAAGTATTTGGTGTGTGTGTGGGGGGAATATTTGAAGAGAAAAAGGAAAATGAGATTATGAGTCCTCAATCATTTTTTTTTTCATTTCAAATCCATCTTTTCAACTTTTTTTTTGCCAGTTGTGGGGCCGAAACTCTGGGCCTGGCGCTGTCCCTTAGCTCTTCAACTCAAGGCTAGGCTTTACCACTTGAGCCACAGTGCCATTTCCTGCTTTTTCTGCTTATGTGGTGCTGAGGAATTGACCCCAGGGCCTCATGCATGCAAGGCAAGCACTCTACCACCAAGCCACCTTCTCAGCCCTTTTTCTCATTTCTTGAGATTACGTGATATCAATCCTATATTTTACTTAGATCCAGAAATAACCAGTCTTGGGGCTTGAATGCAGAGCCTAGGCTCTGTCCCTGAGCTTCTCTGTTCAAAACTAGTGCTCTACCACTTGAGCCACAACTCCACTTCTGGCTTTTTGGTAGTTTTTATTAGAGAAAAGAGTCACAGATTTTCTTGCTTAGACTGGCTTTGAACCACAAGCCTCAGATCTCACCCTCCTGAGTAGCTAGGATTACATACATGAACCACTGGTACCTGTCTAATAACCAACTTTTAGATATTCAATTTATCTTTTCTATTTTCTTACAATTTTAGGCTTCCTATTCCTATTTATAAATAATGAAACTTATTGGCCATGCCTTCACTAGATAGCAAGGAAAAAAAGTGAAATTTTCACAAGTAACTCAACATAATATGTATTTGCAAATATATTTTTGTACAACTTTGTTCCCTTGCAGAATATGTATAATCACTATCCTTAGGCACAATTGTTTCACTAAGATACAAGATAAAAAATTAGTACATCTCACCTGATGCTTCATATAATGATGCATATAGGGTGTTGCAATTTTGATAACTTTGAGGCAAAATGGACAAAGTAAATTCTTAGTGTTTTCATGAGATGTTCGAAAATGAGTTTCTACATCAGAAAATGATGATGATCTATAATTGCAAACCTAGAAATAGAAACATTTGGTTTTATCTGAAAACCTTTATCTGATGTGCAAAATAGTAACAATAACAGATCATATATTTAAAAGAGTACTATACTACTCATGCAGGTCTGATGCCTGTATAACCCAAGGATCTGACCAATAAAATTACAAGAGACAAAAAAGCTTTGGGAATGCATCCACAAATGTAACTAGGTCCTACATTTAGAAATTAATATTAATTAATTAATTCAAAAATTAATCACCCACATCTAGAATTGAATTTTGGAACCTTTTTCTTTTTCCTTTTTGATTGGTCATGGGGCTTGAACTTGGGGCCTAGGCACTGTCCTGAGCATTTTTACTCAAGGACAGTGTGCTCTACTACTCTGAGCCATTGTGCCATTTCCAGTTTTCTGGTGAACTGGAGATAAGAGTCTCACGGACTTTCCTGTCTGAGCTGGCTTTGAACCATGAGTCTCAGATCTCAGCCTCCTGAGTACTAGGATTACAGGTGTGAGCTACCAGGGCCCAGATGGAACCTCTTATCTGAAAAAAAAAAAAAAGATTTTCTTCCACTGCATAAAACAGTATTCTTGCTTTTCAATTCCTCCAAGTTCTGGAAAAATGGTCTCAAAGCATTTGATAGTTCCTAATAACCAATAAAATTTTGCATTTTCCTCCTCTAACTATATTCTTCCCTTTGTGGAAAGTCCTTATTTGTCTCTTCAGCAGTGCTGTTCAATCTAGTTACTAGAGTGAGCCAGTTCACTGCCTTCCCATTATATAATGAAGGAGTAATAATACCAAGGTAATTTCCACTAATAAATTATTTGCAAGAAAGACATTAATTTTAGCAACCAGTTTTACCATATGGTTAAAACAGACAAGTGTTTCATGATACATAAAAATTACATGAGGGCTGGGAAGGTAGCTCAGCAGTAGAGTGCATGCCTTACAAGCATGAGGCCCTGGGTTCGATTCCTCAGCACCACATAAACAGAAAAAGCCGGAAATGGCGCTGTGGCTCCAGTGGTAGAGCGCTAGCCTTGAGCTCAAGAGCTCAAGGACAGCGCCCAGACCCAGAGTTCAGGCCCCATGACCGGCGAAAAAATAAAAAATAAAAATAAAAATTACATGAAATTAAAAATCAATGTCCATAAATATGTTTTCTTATAACACAAAACACGTATTTATTCATTTTTTGTTGATGGCTACTTACTAGCACAATGGCATAAAATGTGGTTATCATAAACTCTCAAACCTAAAATAATTTCTATCTGACTCTTTACAGAAAAACAAACAAAAACTACCAACTGCTAATCTAACAAGCTGAAATCTTTTAAACAGAGTGATTAAGATGGGTGTGTACCTGGCAGATATATGGCATCTCACCGGGTTTATGATTGTCCTTCATATGTTGTAAAAGAACATGTTCTGTTTCAAATGATAATTCACAGATTTTACAAATGGCTAAAATTGAAAAGGAAAATAATATTACAACATTTTAAGACAGAAATATTTTAAAATAATAATGATATTTTAACTGAGTGCCAAGCAGTGTTCTGAAGAATTAACTTACATTAAATTACTATTCACGCTGATTTTAATTACAGGAATTAAGGAAGGCATTTTCATTACCCTACATCAAGTTGCAAGTAACTTGCCTGAATTCATGTACAGTCTGAATTCAAGGTACAGTCTGATTGTGTGTCCCCACATGCACACATGTGCATGCACACACCAGCCAATTGAGCTTAAACTTGGGGGCTGGGTACTGTCCCTTAGGTTTTTTTGCTCAAGGCTGTTCTTTACTATTTGGACCACACATCTATTTCTGGCTTTTGGCAGTAAATGGAGATAAGAATCCCAGGGACCTCCTCATATAGGCTGGTTTTGAACCTTGATCCTCAGATCTCAGCCTTCTAAGTAGCTAGGATTACAAGCATGAGACATTGGTGCCCCATTCAATTTTAACTAAAGTTGATTGCCTTCAACATCTGTGATTTCAGCTACTACTATTGTTATTTTCCTTATTAAGTTTTAAATGAAGGGCACTGTTTTCACAGTTTTCAACTGTAGTTGAAACTGTGCTTGAGGTGTCTGATTTAGTCCCTTACACACAATGTACAACTTATGTCAAGGTAGTTACTATAATACATTTATTTGCAAGAGACTTTAATTTTAGTAACTAATTTTATTTCAATATTTATAGAAATTAAAATTTAATTTTAAAGAATCTGATCTCTCAAAATGTCCTTATATTTTAATAGAATTAAGGCTTGCTCATAGCTTGTATTGTCAAAATCAATTAATATCCAATACTTAAATGCAACTGCAACTCACTAGAAAAGTCGTGAGGAGTATGTGTACTCTCGATGTGGCACTGCAGCTGGAAGGGTGTGGGAAACTGCCGGTAGCAGTGCTGGCAGGTGGTGTGGTTTTCCCAGCTCTCACTGCTCTGCTTCTCAAGTTCCAAGTGGTGTTTCATGTGGTTCATAAACCTGTAAGTGATCGTCAACAGGTGCAAACATTCAGACTTAGAAACAAAAAGAAAATCTTAGGAATAAGTAGTTGTATCTAATTCTTCAACATATAGTATATAAACAATCCAGAAAAACCATCGTTTTCTTTAAGCATCTTTTCATCTTTGTTTTAAAATAATTCATTAATGCAATCTGAAGTAGTACTAATTTTATCTAACTCATAGTCATTATTCCAGATTAAAATGTGTTCTTAGATAAAACAGTAGTCTTTCTTTCCATTCCTAAAGTATTATTTGTTTTAAAATAAATACCAAAAAAAAAAAAAAAGAAACCCTACAACCAAAAGCAGCTAGAGTCCTAGGAGAATCTTTTAAGGCCTTGAAGATACACAATAGATTCCAGATGCTTAAAAGACAAATTACTGGTATTTTTACTTGTGTCTTGGTTTTTAAATGCATGTAATAGCAATTTTACATGAACCTTTGTTTTATGTAATGATACCAGTTTACTGTTAGTACAGACTTCATTTCAATGTGTAGACTGTGCCCTTTGAATGCAACGTCCATTTTTCAGTTTTATATTCTGCTGTTTCAGTTTCCCTAAAAGGATTCCTAGGAGCAGAACTATGAGCTTCAGCAGCAGAGAGTGCAATATAAATGTGTATACCTACATAAAACAGCTTGCTGAAGCTTTTTTTTTGCTGAATCTGAAAGTAAATTTACTCCATCAAAACAGTAATTTTGTGGACTGAGTCAACTTCTAACAACTACTCACTTTGAAATACTAAAGGAAATAATCTTAAAATGTATATAATGTCAACAATCTGTAACAATCATCAAGAAGGGTATATCTTATGTTTTAACCCCTCTTCAACACTACCTCTTGAAATCATCTTTTCTTCCTACTTTTTTTTTTTTTGGTCAGTAGTGTGGGGCTTGAATTCTGGGCCTGAGTACTGGCCCTCACTCAGCTCTTCCGCTCAAGGCTAGTGCTCTACCACTTGAGCTACAGTGCCACTTCTGGTTTTCTGGTAGTTTATCGGAGATAAGAATTTCACAGAGCTGGGTGCCGGTGGCTCACGCCTGAAATCCTAGTTTACTCAGGAGGCTGAGATCTGAGGATCACAGTTCAAAGCCAGCCTGGGCAGGAAACTTTGTGAAACTCTGAGGCTCAAGTGGTAGAGGGCTCGCCTTGAGGTGAAGAGCTGAGGGACAATGCCCAGGCCCAGAGTTCAAGGCCCAGGGGGGAAAAAAGAGAGAGAGAGAGAGAACTGGTATATCTAAAATATTACTTTTCCTCATAAGATATATTTTGAAAATTTACATGTATGAATTAAAGACTTAATCACTAAAATTAGTATGGAGGAGGTCAATTTTGACTCTTCTGTAGAAATGTTTCTTCTTGTAATATAAAGTATAAAATTTAAAGATAGCTAAAAAATGAAAAACACATACAAAAATGTCTAGATCATTGCTCAAAGAAAAAATTAGTTCATTTTGTCTAAAGTTAAAATAAAGTTTGTTCTTTCTTAAGCTATGTGAATGCAATACAAATAAGTAGTTGGGAATCAGATTACAATACACAAGAAAAGGCAAGAGGGCTTTTTAAAAAGAAAATTGGCTTTTGTTCTTAGCAGAATGTTAAAACTGATCATGTTGAGTGGCAGAGAAAAATATGAGATAAAGATACAACACTTATACCTGTAGTATTTAAATTTTCAAATTGAAATAAAAAATGTATTAACATACCTAATATTATTTTTGAGAACTTTCAAACAACTGAAGCATTTAAAGGTTGTATGAGTCTTCTGTTCTTCCTGGATATCTCCTTCATGTTTTCCATAATAAAAGTCATTAACTAACATGATCAATTTTCCTTTCTCTGAATCAGCAGTCATAGCTTTATTTGCTGTATTTGAGTTTTCTGTTTTATCTGGTCCCAAAAAGTCATTTATCATGTCTGGACAACAATACTAGATGAGAAAATAATAGATACTTTTCTTACTTAAGAAATAAAATAGCAAAAATTGATTATGTGTTCACAACTAAGGTCAGACCATATAAAACTATCTGGTAATATATTCAGAAAAACAGTTACCAAAAGTTGTGGGGCATATGGTAATGCCCACAATTCAAATACTATGTATTATCTTAAGGAACAAAAAACAAGTTATCAAGCCTGGTGCTGGTAGCTCACACCTGTAATACTAGCTACTGTAGCTGAGATAGGAGGATCATAGATTTGAATCCAGTGGTTTGATGCCAGTCAGGACAAGAAAGGCTATGAACCTTTTTTTTTTTTTTCTGGTTCTGGGGCTTGAACTCAGGTCCTGGGCGGCGTTGCCCCTGAGCCTCTTCATGCTCAAGGTTTGGGCTCTACCACTTGGGTCACAGCACCACTCCAGCTTTTGTGAGTAGTTTATTAGAAATAAGCCCAGGCTGGCTTTAAAAGTAGCCAAGATCAGGGTAAAGGCATGTAGTTGGTAAAAAGATCAGAGAAATCAAAGGCTTAATGAGCGAGGCATTGGTACCTCATTCCTGAGGAAGTACTGCTGTGGATCAAAGTGGTAGAGGGCTAGCCTTGAGCTAAAGGAGCTCAGCAACAGTGCCTAGGCCCTGAATTTAAGCCCCATGAAATAAAAGACTCAATGGTAATGAATCTTAAAAAATGCCAGGAAAGGGAGCAGAACATAGCTCAGTATTAAAATGCTTACCCAGCACATATGAGACCCCAAATGATAGATAGATAGATAATAGATATAAGATATAAATATAGATACATACATATATACATATATACAAATACATAGCTAGACAAGACAGACAGACAACAAAGCTCTACCCTTTGTTTGCAAAAGCTGGGAAAGAAGGAAGGACAGTGGCAGAAAGTAACCCAGACCTGATTTGGTAAGAAGCTGAAAAGGCAATCTACACAAGCAATCTGACTCATGAATCACACACATAGGGAGCTTTCTACTCAGCAGTTGTACAAACTAGCTAGAAGACTAATACTATTTTGCCAACCTATGCTTTTCCTAAAAGGAACCTTGTACAAAATAGATAACCTAACAAAATCCTAACCATTCAACAAGATAGCACTCATATATAAGCAAAACTTATAAATACAAATATTTCCAACAAAAAACTTTCAACAGAAACATGTTGTCATGAAGCAGATACAGATTAAAAAGTGCTCAAAATTTTTGTCACAAATTTGAATTAAAAAATTTTTTTTTGCCAGTCGTAGGGCTTGAATTCTGGGTACTGTCCCTAAGCTGCTTTTGCTCAAGGCTACTGCTTTTACCTCTTGAGCCACCACAGTGCCACTTCCGGCCTTTTCTGTTTATCTGGTGCTGAAGAATCGAGCCCAGGGCCTCATGCATGCAAGGCAAGCACTCTACCACTGAGCCACCTTCCCAGCCTCACAAATTTGAAATTTTTAATTAAAAGTAGTGACTGTAAAGAAATATAAATGTTTGAAGAGACAGCTTTTTTTTTTTTGTCGGCCATAGGGCTTGAACTCTGGGCTTGGGCGCTGTCCCTCAGCTCTTCAGCTCAAGGCGAGCGCTCTACCACTTGAGCCACAGCACCATT